AAAGCCAATCAGACGAGCCACAAGTGTGGACAAAGAACGCAAACAACCTAGAACAAAAAAACATCGCCCGAAAAGTACACTCGGTGAAGCACGGCTGCGGAATTTGGACAATGAGTTGAATAAAAGAGAAAAACAAACTACAACTCCGGAACAAAAAACGGAAGAGTTGAGGCCGAGTTCAATCTCAACTGCCGCTGGTGATATCGAAATTCAGCAAGGACCGCCCCAAACTTCATTAAAGTCTAAACTCCTAGGTCGAACGAAGGACCTCCTCGAAGCGGCACTTCATCGATCCCCAAAGAGTAGTAGTACAGAACAGGTCACGCGTACAATCGGTGAGTTGGATTCATCCCTCGCTACAGGTCGTATAGATCAAGACGAGTTGAACAATGACGGTGTAACCAGTGTGTCCTCGTTTGCCTCACTCTTGGTGGCAGATTCACCGTTGGGTGAGCCCACATTCATTCCGCCGGCGAATGTAAACACATCCAAACAATTACGCACTCTGGAACCACGTAAAAAGGGTCGTAATGCCACAGATCCGAGTAAAACACCACCACGAAAAAATCGACTGTCCAGACGTGGAAAATCCCAAGTGTTAGATTACGATATCCAACCCCTACCTAATCTGTCCACAGATATGTTACTAACGGAAAGTCCCACAGCTGCTCATTCTTCGCTTAATCTGCCTGCTTTCAGAACAACTGCGAGTTCAGCCTCCAAAGGTTCAAAATCAAGACGTAGTTCGGGTAACCTGGACAATGATCTGGGCAATTTCCTAGCTGGAACAAGTCTGGGACCAGCGCCTTCACTGACAACACCGCAAAGTGCCTTACCATCAGTGTTGTGAAGCAGCCAGATCGAACTGCAACCAGACCCCCTATTCGAAGTGATTCAGTATCGAAGGTTTCACTTATGACCAAAAACCGTTTTATCTCTTTGGTTCACGAACCATTGCGTTGTTCCTCATCAAATATATACGCATATCACACAAAAGCACACACCTATATGTCGGCTGCCCGGAATGCGTTGGATCTGATCGGGAAACATGTCTACCATTTTTGAAGGCACCCATTCACTTATACAAACATACTATCGTTCTGACTGCAAATCACATCCGTCAAGAAGAGGCAAATTACTGTCTGCTCACACAGTAAGCGATCTGTATGCCTCTGCTTCACTTCTTTGTGCACTGTCTAACTATATCTTTCAATGCTCCCCAATATCAAAAATTCAATTGTTCCCAAAATGCTTGCGAACTTCATCAGCGCACAACGAAACTTAACTTTTCTTTCTATCCTTGCTACGTTGTACGACCGAAAAAGGTGATGGATATCATTACCTAACATTCTACGACCTTCAATCTTATTGCTTGCGCAGAGCTTTGATATCCATTACATGTTTCTGATCAGGAATCGAGTGTGACGTTCTATTTGACATGAAACTAGAAAATCACTGTGGGGTTATGGTACGCCAAACTGTGCGTTATTGAGATTTATTGCTTTAGATGCTTTTTTGAAATCTGATCTCATTTGTACGTTATTTAAATATTGGAAAACCCCTTTCTCACCAAGCGCCACAAGTAGGTTCTTAGTTATTTTAATTCCGGATTCAGTTAGATCTTAAAGGGGCTACGTGTTTTTTCGAAATTTGTTTGATGTTCTTATCTTTTTCATCTCTCTAGATGATACGATTATAAACGTGTCAAGAGATGCTTGAACAGTCCCCTTTGCAATACAATATGACGAGAACTCAAGATCGGCAAACAATCTCGTTTTCAGGGCATCTTAACCATGCCATTACAACACCATTACAAAACGGTTAGTCGCAGCCAACCTACTTACAAAACATCGAATCATAGCATTGATTATCTAAAGGACTGGCTTTGAAAGAGCTGTCTGTCCAATGATCACCCGCTGTTGCAAATAAGGTTGTTGGGAAGAAAATACACCAACTTGGTACAAGTATATGAACAAACTGGCAAAAGATAACCGGATACGCATGCCTGACGAGCGGCAAGAACCGCGAAACCGCCAGTGTGCTTCCAGGGAAATTTTTCCAGTCATTCACATACAACTAATTGTAAAACATATGCACATACATATACATATATATATATACGACCGGTTATATTCAGGGATTTACAAAGGATAGAAAAGTAATTAAAGTGTACAAAAGTTTGCAAAATAATTGGTCCTCACTTTGCATGTGGTTGACCTGAATTCGTCAGGAGCCAATTATCATTTGGTCGGATTGTTACATGACATGTCGACTGTCGTTAATGGGAACTTGATTGCTTGCACAAATCGCTTTTGAGCACACAAAGGGGAGTTGTGGAGACGGATACTGACTGCCTCCGCTGTAGCTAGGATAAGTGAACGCATGTGTCTAGACCGTTCCGACTAAGAGAGCTACGAATAAACACGGAGGTTATCATAACGAGACCAGATAAGGGATCCCGTATTATCATAATGAATAAATCTGACTAATTACATGATGTATTCGTCGTGTAACTGAGACGTGAGCTGAAAAGCTAGGAAGCAACAGAGCTGTTTCGACCTGGTTGAGTCTCATCAGCAGTGCGAATCCATCCACCCAATTGGGGATCGAATCCGGGACCTCACAGGTAGAACGCAAGCATACTATCCACTCGGTCACCGGGCGGCTGATCATTTTACTTTTATACGATATAGTGCAACCCACCTTGGAGGGCTGTCCAGTGCTTCCTAGCTTTTCAGTTCACATTCCATTTGCTATATACACGTCGAATTCCCATTTGATATTTAAGTCACACCAAGCTTCAATGAAACCGAATGCATTCTTAACTCT